AGAAATATAAAAGCAAAAAAATTGCATTTTAACACGTATACTTTGCTTTGCTTTCATTTTAATTACTTGCAATTTTGTGAGGAGAAATTTTGGTAAGATGGCAGAAGAGTAAAACATATCTATATATATTTCTTTTTTCTTTTTAAAAGAGAAAGGAGATGAGGTTAAAACTCGTAATCACCGTGAATGAGAGTGAGCTCTTACTTAAGAATCACTCCCCATCTTGAACAAGGCTAAACCTTCAACTTTTTTATTAATTCATTCATTTTGCTAACCTATTAGAGTAACGTTACATTGACTTAAAAATTAAATTTAAAATTAAATTCGATGATCACACCCATTGAATAGGTAGTGAGTCTTAATAAATGTTGGGATCCACTGTAAAATCAATGGCTGTAATTATCAAGCCTAATTTTTAAATTTTTGTAGCATTACTCAACATGTTATTATCTATCTTTCTAGTTTTCTATTATGCCAAAAGACGATTAGTTTTTAATACCATATCGAAAAATAGAAAAAATAAATAAATTTTATTTTAAAAAGTGATAACCTCTACTTAAAAAATGGTAAGTAAATCTAAAAAATAGTAATTGAATCCAAATGTAAGTGCAACCTGTTGGTTTTAATACCAGCGAGATGACAAATACAAATAACGTAAGATTCAAATCAAATCAATTCTTAATTTTCGCAAACACTCTCTTAGAATCAAGCAGCCTCTAGAGAATGATGTCCCTGGGTTCTCACTCACACAGGTTGGCATTGTTCTATAACTCGTTCGTTACTCGTCAGCCATTAGCATACTGCACGTAATCTTTATTTTTGGCATTTGACGATGTGCATGCGTGGGATGTCATGCTTAGCTTACACTTCACTATTTTTCTAACATTAGAGCTAAAAAAAATTAATTTCTCAAATTATAAAGCATGACAACGGTCAAAATTAATTTAATTTTTATTTATTTTGATCTAATAATATAAATTTCATCCAATTTTTTTTTTTGCTCAAAAATATCTTAAAAATATTAATATTAAAAATAAATATTAATATTTAATATTAATATTAAAAATAAAAGACTTTTATTTAACATTTTCGCTTTAAGCTTCAAATTTCCTTAAGCCACCCTTGTGTCAGTCGAGTTTGTGTCGGGTAATATTAGGATTATGTCATTGCAAATTGTGTTATTTTTTAGTGTAATGATCGGACTTCATTTCTCATTTAACTAAATTTATATTAGATTAAAGAAAAACTTATGCTCATACTCTCTAAAATTTATCATTTAATCAGTTAGACCCTTGACATTTAAAATATTATACACAAACACTCTAAAATTTGTGTGCGTACATATAAATTTATGTCGTTAATTTTCGTTAATATATTCATTAATAAATTATATCTCGACGTCTCAAATTTGAAGGTATCTCCTCAACGGAGAAGTAACCAGCTCTGATCATCCAAGTTGATGACTCGATCATCCATGCGGGTGATTACTGCAATAATCGAACTTCCACTTCATCAGCTCAAATTCCCAACACATCTCTCCATTTATTCTCTTGCACAAATCACAATGCACGTTACAGAAAAAGGCTGATCCAACTGTGCCTAACCATCTCGAGATCCCAGAACCGTGACTGACTCATAAATAGTGAGCCTACAGTGGAGAATACTATAGCTTACAGAGCTCAGATAGTATAACTCATTGGGGGTGTCTCAAAAGCCAAAAAAATTTTGAATGAATTTAACACACGCCAAGTGACGTAGTAGTGTCTTGTAGTATTCACGGAAATCTCCCAAAATTAGTTTATAGAACACATAAGTTAGCTTAATTATTCATTGAGAATATATAATATTTTATTGCTGATGTATACAACCACTTGGCATTGCGTTAAACTCGTACAACTTTTTTTTTCTTCTCAAAAGCACCCCCAGAAAGAAAATAAAAGGAGCTAGGCATTGGTTCTTGTAAAAAGTTGTGAGCCATTTATAGTCAGTTTCTTATTAATTATACTGAGTGAGAATCTCTGATGCCGTGTGGGTGTGAAAGTAAGCTAATTTTACACACTGAGAGGGAGCTGATTCATCTGATTCTGTTTACTCTTTGGAGGTAAAACTGGGGAGGAGCTAGGGTTTCGTGGCCCACACGAAACAATCCTTCTCCTTCTTTCAAATTAAGATGGACGCAACCACAGATCCAGTGGTGGTCTCTTTGTGCTTTATAACTTTTGGTGGGTTTGGTCAGTCACAGTCACAAATCACAACCCAAGTAAACCCGAGGGATAAAAACTGATGGACATATTTGCTGCATCTATCTGAGATGCTCAAGTTTAACATAACATACGGTATACAGAACCTGAGAAAAGCACAGCGTTATCTTGATTTCTAGATCATGTAATGGTGGGGCCAGTTTCTTTTTATTTTTTTTTGGGTATTGCAGCCAAGTGTGTTCGAATTAATTTATGTATATTTTGACTAATTTTTTCTTTAATTTTGTCAAAGATAAATCATCCGCAACGGAATTAAAAAATTCATGAAGGATTGACTCCAAATGAATTATAAAATTTGGAACTTAACAAGTCTATGTTAATAGATTATCTCTGCTTTTCACTCGCTATCCTTGAGGTTATGGTGGGGGCAATTTAGTCATTTGAATACTTTGATGAACGTGTATATGAATGTCTTAAACTGGGTTTTTTATTTTTTAATTATCGTTACTCTGATCGTGCCTGCATTATTGTTTTTTAAATTTATAATAATTCATACAATCCTATATAAAAAAGTTAACTGACGTTTATTTTTCTTATAATAGCAATTAACAGGGTTTTTTGTATGTAATATTAGTCTTATTATTTATATTAATATGTCAGTTTTATTTTTGGATTGGCATCTTATATCATGCAGGGAGATTTCTGTCATTTTCCTCAACTTGCATTCTTATTATAGCATACTACGCTATCAAATTTGTCTTTCCATTTAGTTAAATTTTCTTTTAAACTTTGGGCTAGTATTTTTTGCTGTATAGTTAATAAATCGACATAAAATTGCTCACGTATATCAAATTTATATTGTATTTAAATTATGCCGTGTCATATTTACTATACTCCTTAAAGTTTGGCACCTGTGGGTGATCTACATGCGAGATCGATCCTTATAATATAATGATTAAAGACCAAGTATAAATGATGAAAAAAAATTGAGTACTGGGTCTGAGTATTAACATGTGGACCAACTAGGCTTAATGATGTGCCAAAAGAATGATTTAGCAGTTGTATTTAATTATATTTGACACTATCCTATAATCTAATTTTTGGCTATTAATTTTATCTCGAATTACTTGTAATCATTAATCTCGTAGATAATAAAATGATAATATAATTAAACAAGTGTCATTTTATAATTATATAAAACAATAAGATATGACATTAAAAAATTTATTTTGAGGAGCATACTTTATAATGAGATTATTGTGCAAGGCGGAGACAATATGAGCATTCCGTCGCTCTTTCGAAATCATTGCACTAAGTTTCAACCTTTTGATAGCTGGACAATCATGTGGTTGTTCTGGTCAATGACATGGTTGGCCCCAGACCTCTCAAAAGTCTTCTATATGTTTATACCGTTGTTTCTAGCAAGGAAAATGTAATAATTGTTTGTAGCTAGCCACCCGTAGGATGTAGTATAGTATAGTAGTGTGAAATTGATTTAAGTGTGCCGTATACTCGGACGTGTTTGGTTTTAATCATTAATATTGGACTTAATAGGTACATACGTTTCACAAAATAATTATAAATATCTTTGAATTTTCACAATTCAAAAAGAAGAAGTTGAAAACACAATAGCAAATGGCAAGGGTAAGTTATAGTTTTTTTTTCTTCAGCGGAAGTAAGAATATAATTCAAATAGTGCAGAGAGGATCAAGTATTTTGTCCTCGAGTACCACCCCAAACATGCCACTATTGGCACTGATCGGAGCTCCTGGCTGTGTTTTTAAGTGTTTGGAAGTTAGTACAAAACTAGGACACGTCTGAAAGGTCACATCTATTTGTGGTCAAGTTCACAATGGGAGAATGACGACATTGACATTAAATTCTGATTGGATAAAATGAAAGAATGTGAACATTTTCCAAGTGAAAAACTAAAATATAAAAAAAAAAAAAATTAAGGGAAACCAAATTGGAGTAGGAGCCACCCAAAAGAAGTCCTCCTTTTAATTATGTCCAAGTTGCATAATTCATTCTAGATTGAGAGTAAAATGAAAAGGGAGACTAGCAAAAGGTTGGAATGCAAAACTTAATTAAATAGGTGCACCACAGCTTCATTGATGGTTTAAAGAATTGGTTGATATTGTATGATTACGTTAACATGCATTTAAAATAATATTATCAAAATTATTACACAAATACTGAATTTTGATTTATCATAGAAAACTTTCAAAATTGTCCGAATTATCGTCTCTGAATTGTACAGTATCCACCGTCCCATATTGTGAATCTCTCGATATATCAACTTTTTCTTCTGTCTAATATTTTGTGCTGATACCCTTTCTAATAGTATAGGGACCCAGGCAAAGGTTGTCTAATTAAAGAACTAAGTCATAGCTTTTCTTTAGACATTGACTTACACATTCATGGGAGAATAGAGGATGTGAGCCTTGTATACATGTTACATGCTATTTGACACCTAGTGCAACTAATGCCATCATTAATTAGATTATCAATCCAATAATTAAATTTTTCAATTTAGTTGCAAACAATATTCTTGATTAGTGAAGAAGAAACAAACCAATAATTAAACTGCATGCACAAAAATGATGAGAAAAACATCTAATAGCTGAAATTTGAGTGACCTGGTTATATATATTATTCACTCTTAAACACTCGATCAACAATCCTTGACGCAGGAAATACAGCTTTTAGAACTAACTGGAAATTAATATCTCCATAGTACTCTAATCAAATCTACATTACATTAGATAAATAATACAGTGGGTTTTTCAAATCTAAGCTCTCAGACTCAAGTCTCCTCATGATCTTGATCAGAGCTAGCGCTTTTGAAAAACGATGTTCAGTAAAATTTCTAGCAAGCACAAAACATGGTTTCCCAAATCTCAGAGAAAGCTTCAACAATAACCCCATGATGGTGCCTTGAGTTCAACGACAGAAAACACTGCAACAGCTGTTCCAAATCTTCCTTCTCGAACATTTGTTTCTCCAGAATCATCTCCATCATTGACCTCTTGAAATCCTCATACGGGTCATCAGATTTCTTCACAATCGCAAAGCTTTCCTTCACCTTCCCATCCACCGTACATGGTATCAGCTTCTTGAACATCGACAATCTCGCCGGTGAAGCATTCTCCGACGACGATACCGACGACCTACACATAACCTTCACCTTAACAGGACCATAACCACCATTACCATCACCGCCAGCCTTTGAAAAGGAACGTTTTGATTTCTTCGCTTTCTTCCTGTTCTTCTTGGGACGCCTTGTGGTCATGGGTGTCTCCCGTATGGTCTCCAAGTGAGGGTTGAATTCTGAAGATGAGTCAGTAGAGAAGCTTCTAGAAGAGGAAACTAGGGTTTCAGTCTCTTCTCCTTCTTCCTCCTCATCAGCTCCTTCGCTGCTAAACAACCCGCTATCCGCCGATGAAGTACTCATACGGCCTCTCATTATCGTTTTCTTCTTTCTACACCGTCGTTTCTTCTTCTGCGCCGCAGGCGGTAGTGGTGGAGGTGGTAACGCCAAAACTTCGTCATCGGAGTCACCGGAAACGGACGAATTATATATTTTCCGGCGAGGTGTCTCGTCGTGGACCTTGGCAACCACGTGCCATTTCTCTTCTTTTTGCCACTTGAAATACTGCTGTGATCCGGTGTGGTTGTCGTCACAGGAGTTCTGTACACCGGACTTCAACGTGAGGCCACAACCGACAGATAAGAAGGCGGAGGACACGTGGCGTTTGAAGGAGGAGCGATGGGGTTGTGGTTTGGAGGGTGGTGGGGTCCTTGGGAAATCGACGGGGATGAGCTTGGGGTTGACCGGTGAGAGTCGGAAGAACGAAGGGACAGGATCTTCTGGGAGGGAGGAGGGGTCTTTGGAACGGCAGGACTGGAAGGATGGGATTACTCGGGAGATCCGAAGCTTGAAACGTTTCGCCATTGGTTGGTCTGTCTCTGAGTTGTTAAGCGTTGAGTATGAAAGCGTCAAAAATGTGAACTGTTTATCTGAGAAAAGCGAGTCTTATATATACGCGGGGTGCCATTCAGTGATGAAGAAAATACAGTTAGTACCCACTGCGTTTGTGTTGATGAAATAGACACCCCTGGTGTTTTCGAATTTTTTATAAACAGGTACACATCACTTCATTTGTCAGATAAGTCTTTTAAATTAGGGTAATTCTACAGTTAGAGAGAGAGAGAGAGAATTGGTATCATATCAAAAGTTATTAAAAATGTTATTAGAACTGATTGAGAAAATTTATAATCGATTCTGCAATGTTATGATCGATCGTGAATACCTCTACTCTATTGTAACTTCACCATTAGAAAGTAAAACTTGATTTTTAAAGCATCACTCACGCTTACACACATACACATACTTTTTATTTTATTTTTGTTCTATAAATAGTATATACAAACAAATCAAGACAAAATCTACAATTAGTAAATATTTTCAATATAGTGTCGAAAAATCACTTTTTGATAACATAGTCCATGTTTCAACCTAATCAATAAAAGCCGTTAGCTTAGTTAGGACATTATGTAGGAAAGTATCCCTAGTTTAATGTGGATTCCCTATTGAATTGATGGGTTGCGTTGAAAATTGCACAAACAAGTCTAGAATTGCCAACCCAGCAATGACCCAGCAGTGACTCCAAATATTAATGAAGTTTAGCTAGCAATTAATATATTTATATCATTGTCTTGTGGATACGAGTGGGACAATTTGTGGCTTCTTATAATAAGCTTGCTTAGGTTAGTTTTGCATTAATATTGGATCATCTTCATCATAATTTTCAGGTTTCGGGCATTAAAAATAAAGCAACTGATTCAGTAGCATGAGTGCTTTATTAAATTAAGGCTCGTTACAAAATCACATCTTAAGTTTTCATTGGTAAGGTACTTGTATGTAGTGTAATGATAAAAATTCAAAATAATTAATTATTGGAATTAATTTAGGACTATAATAAGTGAAAATTTATGCTAAATTAGTAGGAGGAATATTTTTTGACCTTTTGAAATCAACCCTAAGCTACCCCAATTGGTCAGATTATAGGTACTGTAGGTGAAGGTTTGTTGGCTGGTTAATTATGGTATCGAGCAATAAATTTTTAAAACTATTCTTTCACTTTTTGCTAAATAAAAAGTTATTTTATGATATTACTCTATTTTATTTAATTATATTCAAAATCAACGAATACCAACCATATAAATCAAGATGTACCATTTAATTTTTTTTTAATAGGGTATCAAAATTTTTTTTGAAAGTAGCATAGTCATGGCCTATCTTTTAAGAGGCAAGCAGTATCAGAGCTTGCATGCCGTCCTCCAAGAGATGAGTTCTAAAAATTAGCGCTGCATCTGGGTGTATCCAGCCGTTTCTTTCTTTGTCGTACACAAAGTTTTGAATCAGACTTCTTTATGTCTTCACTATCAATCAGTAAAATTATCCAAAGTCTCGAATACTGGACAGACACAGACACAGACATAGTGAAAAGATTACACATGGAGCTTTTATTGCTTTCTCGCAAAAAAAATGTATTCATCTTCTTTCTACATATTCTATTCGTTTTTAACATTCTTTTGCAAAGCCAAGTCAATAGAGTGGCCACAAATCTCCTACGGATAGGTTGAATCGATCACACACTATTGGTTTCATTTCATGTCATGCAATGTACAGACAGACATGGAAAATACTAGTGATTTGTACTGTTTTTTTCATCCTTTAAAACTTTTGTATTTTGTTGAATCAGACTACATTATTTCAATACAATTCTAAAATTATTGTCCTGTTTTTTTGACTGTGTTTTCTATCCTTTACTTTTTTGTCTTTACATTGGCATTATGGGCACTATTTTGAAAGGGCAGTTTACGATTCTCATATCATTGTAAATATCGAAAAAAATTGGATTTACACAGGCTTAGTTCGCATGGGAGAGGTTTTTTCCTCATCTTTTGTCCGATCGACTCAATTTCCTGATGCTATATTCTGCAACCCTTATTGTGTAAATAAATCAGGTGAATAAGGGCTCACTGGCCATGAAAAAAGCATCTCTTAAACTTCTCGAAAGTTAACGAATGTTCAAGGTTTTTGTTCACGAAGTGACTTTAATTTAAATTATTCACAGTCACCACACTGTTGATCAACATGGACATTCACGAGTTATATTTTTGGGAACTGCAAAAACACCAATTTTCTCAGTGAGTACGGGTTGTTGCACATGCATGGGGGACAAATCCAACAGTGCTAAATTCATAAGGGCTTGTGTAAAGTTGTCGCCCTAGGGTTCTACTGTATAACATTTTTTTTTTTATTTCATTTAGGGATGTTCAAGTTAATGTATATACATCTTGACTAATTACTTCTAAAATCCGATTTCCAAGTTTCAAATTCAAGACGTTTAAATTTATATCTCATTTTTATCTCCACTAAGTTACTCCCAAGATTTACTGTATAACATGAGTTACACATTGTCCTATGTAGGATGTCCAAAGTCAGAGTGTTTTCTTGGAATTATTTCTAAAGATTTATCTCGTAATTATTTGACGCATTGTGGAATAAACACGTGTCGGAGATTATTAGTGAGATAGTCTACGAGACCCGAACACCTTATTAATGGTATGCCGAATTGTCTATGGATTGATTATATTTGCAGAAGTGCCCCATAAATTTCAACCAATACTCTAATGATCCCAACACTTTTAAAGCCACGGTAAAAACTTAGAGATAATGTCCCGAGCGTTTCAAAGCAGAGAATAATAGGGCAGTTCGAAAAAAAAAAAGTAATGCTAACCTGATAAAAAAAAAAAAAAAAGATGAAAAAGGCTAAAAACATGTATCAAATAATGTGTCATCACCATAATGAGACAAATTTGAATTTCCAATGTATAAAAATAAGACGAATAACACTATAACACCATTACGATAATGTCATATCATTTGGTTTCTATTTTTTATTATTTTTTAGGTCAATTTAATATTACTCAAATAAAAAAATATTTTTTTTTGGTTCAATAGTGAGGGGTGATCAAACCAACTTTCAAGCACCTCACTTTTCTAGTCTGATAAAAGACATATCATCTACACATGGACTAGGGAATCCATGAAGATAGTTGCCAAAATTTAAACTCAAAACACTGAGTTTAGAGCTCATATCTGTTACCACTTGAACTACCTATCAAGGTTTCAAAAAGAGAGAATTAAATTCAAACCCCCTGAAATTTATCACTTAATCACTCAGACTTCCTGATATTTGAGATATAATGCATAGACCCCTGAGACACGTAACACTTAGACCCCTATCGTCAATATCTATTACTAAATTACACTTAGATCTCCTAAAGTTTGTAAATATTTAATACTTAGACTCCTTAAGTTTAAAATGTTATACTTAAACAAAAAATATTTTAATCAAAATAAAATATCAAATATTTTAAATTTTATGACCAAAATTCATGTTATATTATATTATTTATTAAAATCAAATCAAAAATATCAATTCAATCTTTTAAAAATCATAATGAGTATATAATTATATTATCTATTAGAATAAACTAAAAAATCAAACAAGGGGTCTAAGTCATTCATAATAGATCATGAATTTTACAACCAAAATTCTTGTTCTATTATGTCATTTATTGAAATAAAATTAAAAATAAAAAACTATTTTTTTCTATAAAAAACTATTTTTTTCTTAAAAAATTATAATCAATATACAATTATACTATCTATTAAAATAAAACTTTAAAAAATCAAACAAGAGATCGAACTATAATGAACACAATATTTTTTAGTTTTAATTGAGATAATTTAATTGTTTAATTTGATCGTTTAAACAGTCAAATTAAATTTCAATATACAGTATAATTGTATATTAATTACAATTTTTTAAGAAAAAATTAGATATTTATTTTTGATTTTGTTTCAATAAATATCATAATAGAACATGAATTTTGATTGTAAAATTTAAATTATTTAATATTCTATATTTGATTAGAGTATATTTGGTTTAAGTATAACATTTTAAAATTGATAAGTCTAAATATTATATGTCTACAAATTTTAGGAAATTTGGGTGTAATTTACTAACAGATATTAACTGGAAGAGTTTAAGTATTACGCGCGTACAAATTTCAAGAAATCTGTGTGTAATATTTCAAATATTAGGAGTTTAAGTGATTACGTGACAAAACTACTCAAAAATGTACAAGTATAATTCTCCTTTAAAAAAGTAGTTTTTTGTATCCAATAGTTTGGCATTATATATTGCGACATCTCCAAACCATTGCAATGAAAGGAGCGTAGCTTTTGCTTTGGACACAACTTTAGAACAGGCAAGGTTGATGGAAAAAAGTCAACCCAAAGAAGCGTCCTCTCATAGAAGTGGTGGGGATCCAAGGGAACAAAATCATCTGTGCATGCAATTGTCTCCTCTCTGTTTTTTGTGGGACAAGAATCATTGACAAGTTAAAGCTCCTTTATCTTTCATATGTCCCAACACATGGTGCGCTCTGCATTACCTTGTTCTCATTCACTACAATTGAAAAGGTAAAGGAGAATAATTAGAGAAAACTAAGCCTGGCCCACATTTTTCAAGTTTGGAAAAGATTTTTTTGTGTATATTCGGGCGGGCCCACGATGAACCATGTCGATGATAAAACCATGTATTTTGGTGTTATTTAAACCTTGCCGTAGTGGTAGTGGTAGTGGTATTAAAAAGGCACCAAACCGAATTAGGCGGTCAAAGTTACTGCTATGCTCCTGCATTGATAGAGTTGTTAGTCTTTGGCTGCCAATTCAGGGGCACGATGGTAAACAAGTGCATAAATCATATGAGTTTATCTGTGGGGCCCATAACATTCGTGTTGACTAAATATGGGATTGATTAGAAATAACTCAGTCCCACTGAGTTTATCTGTGGGGCCCATAACATTCATATA